TATGAATTTCCCTCGAAAGATTGATTGCATTGTGTCCCATAGATTCTGATATATTGTATCAGTATTGTCATTTAATTGTAGGAACTGTCTGATTTCTTCTTTAATTTCCTCTGTGACCCATTGGTTATTCAGAAGTGTGTTGTTCAATTTCTATATGTTTATGAAATTCTTGCCGTTTCTTTTGCTATTGATCTCCAATTTCATCACACTATGGTCTGATAATATACATGGGATAACTTCAATTCCTTTGCACTTACTTAAAGATGTTTTATGACAGAGTATGTTGTCTATTTTGGAGAATGACCTGTGTGCATCTGAAAAGAATGTTTACTCTGATTTTGTGAACACTTCGCAAACATCTGTTAAATTCATTTGTTCAAGAGCTTGACTGAGTTCTAGTATTTCGTTGCTTGTTTTTTGTCTAGTTGATCTATCTATTTGTGGCAGTGGGGTATTGAGTTCCCCCACTACTATTTTATTAGTGCTTATTTGATTTTTCATGTCCATTAGTATTTGTTTTATATAGTTGGGTGGACTAGTGTTTGGTGCATATACGTTTATGATTGTCATCTCTTTCTCTTTGATTGTTCCCTTTACAAGGATGTATTGTCCTTCTTTGTCTCTCTTAATCAGTGTTGGTTTGAAATCCACTTGATCTGCAAAGAGGATAGCTACTCCTGCTTTTTTGGGAGGGTTTCTGACACATGGAGTATTGTTTTCCACCCTTTAACTTTCAGTCTGAGTTTCTTTTTGAATCAAGTGTGTTTCCTGTATTCAGCATATTGTTGGATCTTGCTTCTTTTTTTTTTTTTTTTCACATTTTTACCACATTTATTTTGTCATGATTTTTTAGTCCCGATTAACATGATACAATTTGGGAAATAAATATTCCCCTTTTTTGTTGCACATGTGCTGCTAACAAGGGCAAGAAGAAAAGAATCAGCAAAGGTTGCAAGAAATGGAAAGATGGGGAAAGAAAGACGAGGCTGAAGAGCGGGAAGTGTTTCTATGAACCTCCCTAAAGAACCACTACCAACCCACCAAGTTCCAAGTTGATAACATAAAGTGTTTTTGCCTCACAGAAATCACCCGGAGCCACATTCAAAGTCCACGAGTTATACACATCTCAGGGTGGGTTTCCTTTCACATGTCATGCGTGTATTTTTTCACACTTTGCAAGCCCCATAGATGACACTGTTCATCAAGCACTTTCAGTGCATTATTCAGCAAATAATTTGATGATGTAAACCAACTTTGGTTAGCAGAGGGGAGTCAGCTGCCTTGTAAGGTTCTTTCTTTCAAGTGAAACAGGTCTGTACTTAGAGCTCTGAGTCAGAGGAACCTCTGGAAGCGCATTCCTGTTTCAGCCGGGTTTGCACGCACTTACCACCCGAAAGTGCATTACATTAAGCAACACCTTGGTTAAAGGTACGAATATAACAGTTCCTGGCACAATTAGCTAGTATCTGTCCAGACAGTGAGTGTAAGTGAAAGCTCTTTTAGCTCCTCCCCCAGGTCCTCGAAAGGCCTTGATCCGGAGGCTTTGCTGCTCCATAACGACTGTGCGGCTGAGCTGCTGTTTCAGAGATCAGAATGTGTGAAAATAGCCCTGGGTGGCATTCGTCTCATCAGTGCTGCCCAATCCACAGGAGTGAAAAACGGGTGAGATTTGATATCTTCAACACCAGCGACTCCAGCTCCCAGACATTCCAGGGGGTTGAACTGCAAGAGCTGTTGAATGAGGGACCGAGCCTCTTCGGAGACACTTTCTGGCATGTTCAAGGTAGTGTGAGTATTTATTCCTGCCGGGTGGCACTCAACCAAAGTCTTGCCAGTGAGAAGTTCAAAGAGGACAACACCCAAGCTCCACCAATCACAGGCTTCAGTTTCTTCTGTGATTGCTCCAACCTCTGAGGCACAGAACATTCTCACTATGGCATCGCTGTCACAGGAATCTTCAACCTCACTCCACCTGCTAAAATACGTTAGCTGAATGTGTCCTCTATCATTCAATAAGATGTTGTTTGGGTTCAAATCGTGGCACACAATTCCCTCTCTATGTAAAGCATCAAGGGCTACCACCATTTCAGCTGCCCATCTTTGAATGCAGTCCTCTGGGATATAAAACCTGGAGTTTAGTGCTAATTTTTTTATCAAGGTCCTCAAAAATCTGATGGATTTCCTTGTCTCCTTCCAGGGCTAACCCACTTTCGCCCTTAGTCTCTGAGTTTCTTTGGAATAAAGAAGTAGCCAAGTCATCAGTCCGATCTGTAAGCAGCAATATTTCCTCTGTTTTTAAAGTGTCTGTGTTTGCATTATATTTGTTAGCACCTGAGAGTGTATTAGAAATATGGAATAAGCTTTCTTCCACGTTGTCTCCAGTTAAGGCCAACTCAGTTACTCCGAGTCGTCCAAACTTAGGATCTGAGTTATGTAACAAAGTCGCATCTTCTGAACCGCTATGATCAACAGCTGCTACAAATAACACACCCAGGTCCTCCTGGACATAGTGTGTCTCGGGGGGGCCACTCAGGTTCTCTGAGCCTTCCTCTTCAGGGGCTTGGCATTGTTCAGCACTAAGCCGGAGACCAAACACGTCCAGAGCCTCCAGCAGCTTATTTTCTACTCTGTCTAGGGAAGTCTGTGTAAACTTAGTAGGTTCTATAGCTGCAGCTTCTTTTGGTGGCTCCAATTCACCAGGTAGATTTACAAGAAGATCAGGCCTTCCTTCATCAGTACCAGTGATATCATCAAAAGCTGCATCTTTAAGTGAGATAACTGGGACTGAGTCATCTGAGACCCTGCTAACGGTGTCCAGAGCTGTAAACTCGAGCCTGCTTTCGCTGGCATTCAAACTCTTGGAAGTGTGGTCTCCATCTGGAAGACCAAAGAATGGCTTCAAGGGTTCTGATTTCAGACTATACAATTTTTCTCCAAAATCGAGTCCCAGAAATTCGTTTGTGCTGTCCTTACTATCTATTCTAAAGAATTCCATGGGGCTGTTTTTTGATCTGCTAAGGGAATCGGATGTTCTTGGAGAAGGAAGTGCTTCAGAGTCCTCATCTCCAAGGAAGAACTTCAACTCGTGAGCTCTCAGCTGTGTGCTGGAGTCGGCACTGTCGGCA